TGACAGCCTACAAACGGGGTGGGCTGCTGCAAAACAGCCCCCTGACACGGTGCTAAACACATCCCCACGCTGAGCACCCCTTGCTGCTGCACCGCCCCGGGGTCACACATGACTTTATAAGGTCCTGAATTTAAAAAAAAAATAATAATCCAACAAAACCGAGGGCAGGGAAGCCCATCTCCTTCCTCCCTGGGCCTGAAGGGGGAGCGTTCTTCTTGCAGATGTTATCGCTCCAGTTTTGGCACCCTTCCCCTCTTTGCTGCTTCACTCGGGGCCCCATATAAGGCCACATTTCCAAAGCCAGGTGCCGCAGAGCTGATGTGTGAGCGGGGCCGTGAGCCCGGCTGCTCACGCCTGGGCTTCCCTGGAGATGCTTCTGCAACCACACTGGTGGCCACTGGGTTTGACAAACCCCTGCTGCTGGTGGGGGGAGACCCCAGCCAATAAAGGCCATGGAGGAGCACAGACACGACCCTCTCCCCCCTCCCACAAACATGCCTTGCCTTGTCCCCTCTGGCAGCAGCTTTGGCACAGCGGTGCAGGCTCATTTGTACCCAGGCCAAGAAACGATGTTTATTCAATTTCGCATAATCCATTTTCCATCGACTCACAATGGATCTGTTTTTCAACCACAGATGACTTAGCACGGAAACAAACTCCTCTCAAGCAGGAACCCAGCAAGGCTCTCCGGTGAGACACGCCTGGGTCTGCATGATGCCATCGCCCTTGTCGCATCGCAAAGGGTCCTCCATGCTGGGGAGGTAGCCCAGCCACCTCCTAACCTCCTCATCCTCTTCTCCTTTCAAGGGCTTGCTGCCACTCAAACCAGGGACAACATTTCCTTAACCACCTTGAAACCAACGGTTCTGGAAAGTTTAAAGCCAGAAGAAATCATTACATCAGCTGGGCTAAGCCAGCCCCCCCACCGTGTGAAGCCTGGTGCTCCGTGTTTGTTCACATATACCTCCCATGAGGACTTCTGCAGTGTGCAAGGTCTGAAAAGCCACCCCCTCTCCTCGGCAGGCTGATTCAGGAGTTTATCACCTTTACAAAACATGGGTCTCGGTTTTAAGTGGATTTTATCTGACTTCATTGTAAGGACATAAAAAAGAACCAGTGATTTTCTCCAAAGCAGTAAAAGGTCCGTTAGCAACCAGTATGTTTCCCACAAAGATATTTAAACACTGCAATCAAATTGCTTGTCAATCCTCTAGATAAGCTAAACGGTTTGCACTTTTAAGTTCTCACTGGAAGGTGTTTGCCCAGCCCTACAACCAGACCTCTCCCCAGCAGGCTGCTTCCTGCAAAACCTACCACCCCGACAAGCGATACCAACGTGGGACATGTGCTGGCTGCTCTCCCAAGGTCATCCCTTTCACCAAGGCACGGCAGTGGACACCAAGAGGTAGAGTTTGGCTGCAACCTTTTCCAGAGCTCCCAGTTTGCACTGGTCCTCCATCCTGCAAGCATCCCATGGTGAGCTCACATGTGCTCAGGAGCCTGGGGTATCACACAACAACCCAGGCCCTGCTGCTCTACCCTTGCTGTCAGTATATTAGACACTGTTAAATTCAGTGTTCAAACATACTACATGCACACACCTAAGTTTAGCAGCCTTTTAATTATCAGTGCCCCCTATTCTCCCTTCAGCTGGTTATCAGGTTACCCAGACTTCATTTACCCAAAT